TATATATATATATATATATATATAGGCAGCCTCACTGCATGCCGGTGAACAGACAAACAGCTGAAATGCGGTTAAGACGAAATAACTACAAATCGCGCACGTGGGAGAGGACCTGCAAATTCACAACAAAATAACAAACTTTTATTGTTATTATTACATATCTATTATATATGTACGTACAGCATAGATATGCATATTATATATATTATACATACTATATTATGCATGTTTACTATTAGTACATATACATATATATATATATATATATTAGTGTTCAATATTATTATTAAATAATAATAACAGACGCACATCAATATAACAATAACATTCGTGTACAACATAATGATAACATACAGTTTGAATATAAAGAAACATATATCAACAACACAGTAGTAATAACATACACTGGCAAAGGCATACATTAATAATATAATATCATGCATAAATAACAATATAATAATAAAGACGTACATCGTAATAACAACATACATCCGTAGCACAGTAAAAACAAACAAGCCAGCAATATAAAAATAGTAGGAACAAACACATAATAATAGCATAATAATAACATGCATCTGAAGCCTAATAATAGCATACACATCAATAATATAATAACAAAGACAAGCAAAATCTGTACGAAATAAACAAAGATGAGAACTGTACCATGGAGCAGATTTCTTCTTTTGTTTTTGGATGGGGTCCTCTTTTTTTTGTCGTATTTTTCGTCTTTTTCTTTTTCTGTTTCGGCGTTGTCTTCTGCTTTGTTGTTTGCATCCCGTTGATAGAAGTGAGTGAATTTGCTGCTGCAGTTTTTAATATTTGTTTCTTTGTATTCCCCTGGGCACGGCGTAGAGTGTCTTTGTCTAAAGCCAATTTACGTATTCTTGAGTTGAAGTCTCTCGAGGGTAGAAACTGTTCATAGAACTGCTGCTCCATATACTCCTTCACTCTATCCCGCTTTGCTCCTCTGTTACCCCCTGATGAATCTGTTGATTTCTCTCTCTTTGCATTTGCCTTCTTTAGTTCTTGCAGCGGCCCGCTGCAGCCGCTGGCGGCTGGAAGGAGCCCCAAAGACTTCATGGTGAGTACGGGAAGAAACAATCAGAGTCCTTGTAGATGAACTCTAATGAAGGAAACAACTCAGATCATCCTCTGAAAAATATGCCGATTTCAGCTGTACAGACACCCCGTTGTGACGCCTTTGCCTCGGCAATCGACTGAACGGCAGTCTACTGTGAATGAAAACTGAAGAAAATGAAGAAGAAATGCTGCAAATTATGCATATTTCAGTGAAGTTTTACCTTTTTAATCGTCTAATATGCTTGAATTCACTGAATATTGGCTGTTTATTGCCGATTCCCCTCGTTTAGTCTTCGCATGCAGCAACTTCCGACTATCAGCAGTGAGTAGTGGCCTAGGCAGCGGGGGCCCCCCGCTCGTGCATAGATATATTCATACAAACCAAATGATTTATTGCATTAAATAATAAAATAATTGAATTATTTTGTTATTTTTATTTATACCAATGGCTGCTGATTAAGTGGGCATCTTTCTTTTGGCTGTACGCTGCAACTTCGCAGCCCTTCCGTACAGCGCTTCAGAGGGATCTTGAAGCGACCGAACGACAAATTACCCCAACTAAGCATAATTGTTCATCAGAAGCAGCAGTTTGCAATGAGGGGAGGAAGAGGAGGAGGCTCTGGCGGTGGAGACGCACGAAAGTGGGTCAGGGAGGGCACCGAGCGTCACGGTACGTCTATTAAGACCAGTAGCAGAGAGCAGAATCTGAATATAGAGGGTTTTCTCTCTCTTTAATTTCCTCTCATAGCGAACTCTGAACTCTTATTATCTGTTGTACTGTCGTAACAACCGGCATTTGCCTCCTTTTGCCTCCTGCAGCGACGGAGGTTGCAGCGATGCAGGCTCCTGCCTGCGTGTATGAAGAGAAATGAATGGGCAGCATCAGCAGCAGCAACAGCAGCCAAAGCAGCAGCAGCAACGACAGCAACAGCAACAACAGCAGCAGCAGCGTCAGCAACATCAGGAGCAGCAGAACTGCCTCGCCCCCGGCAGCCTTCATCTTCTGTTAACTTCTATCGTGTTTTTGATTTGTCTTTTGTTTGCTTACAGGCCCTGTGACCTCTGAGCCTCCGATATATCCCCCGAATCCGGATATTGAAAGAGCAGCAGAATTAGATGATGAGTCTGCAGGTGCGGTGTTAGCATATCGTTTGCTTACTAACCACTGGCGTACAGCAGAGTGTTGTATAGCGGAGCGCCGTAGTAAGCTGGAAGGGCGTAATTATTCAATTGCAGAAGATCTGAATGCCTTTGATTGGGAGAGTCAGAAGGAAGCCATTGTCTCCTATTGCGGCAGTCAGTTCTTCCCTGCTGAGCTGCTGCATAGTCGCTTCATTCGCGTCCCCAGGGGCATACAGAGGGCTGCTGCAGACAGTAAAAGACATAAACTCAAAGAAATGGAACAAAAAGAAGACGAAAATAAAGCCAATGAAGATAAAACACAACATGCACAAACAGATGCAAATGCAGAAGGTATGATGAGGCTCCTCTACATCTTCCTTCTATTCCTGCTGCTGCTGCTGTTGTTCCTGCTGCTGCTCTTCCTGCTGCTGCTGCCCCTGCTTCTGCTGTTCCTGCTGCTGCTGCTACTGAGTTTTTACTTCTCTTTAGACCAGACAAACGAAAGTATCTCTATTCCAGCAAGGCGGTGCTTTGCCGCTTGGCTGCAACATTTCGCTTTTGCTGTTGCCTGGTGTTGTTGCTTGCGGCCACATCTCTTCTTTTATTCTTTTCTCTGTGCGCTTTATTCTTGCAGATGAACTCTTCGGTGCTGAGGACGACGACTTTGGAGGAGATGACTACGCACATGATTACTACGCTGACGAAGAAATCGATGATCATATCGATGAAGGGGATGATGGAGGCATTCTGTAGCTTTTTAGTTTATTCGTTTTATTCCTTTTTATTCATTGTTTCATAGTTAGCACTTCAGAATCTGCCCTTTTAAATGCGGATCTCAAACCGCTGCCTCCCTCCCGCAATTCAGGTTCTGCGGTTGCTGGGGAAAGAAATGCCGCTTTTTTTTTGTTCCAGACGATTATTTTGGTTAATTGTTTATATTTTTGTTGACATGTTTTAATAGTTTACAAAGGGATGACGAATACTGACATGGCTCTGATATCTGCAGAGTCGAACTGCATTGCAACGCCGAGACCAGCAGTGAACACTTCATTGGTTTTTTCGTTGTTAGGCATCAAGTAGAGGCAATGAAGCCTGAAAATGATATTTAAAGAAGAAACAATAGTTGCAGCTGGAGGATCGTGCTTGTTTTCGTTGTTTTAACCCAGTGATCAGCATCACGTTGATGTCAGTCCAGGTGTATGTCCAGCAGCGAAACTTTGCACATTTCGACCACCGCCTTCCCGTTGAGAATTCGGCGGAGTTCCCTCTTACTAGGGGAGCAGCAACATATTGTTGCGTCTGTTTAGTGGTTGATATCTCTTTGTTTCTTCTCTACCTTATCATGAGGGCGTCGGTGCGCAGCGCACTGGCCGTGTCAGTGATCGCATCGCTGGCGCCCCTGTGCAGTTCTCAGGAAACGTCAGCAGATTTCTACACATTTACCGATGCTTCTGCCACTTCTTCTTACGGGATGGGGTTCGAAGCGTCCCAAGCTCTTCAGCCGGGAACAGGGTACTGGTCTAGTGCGGGGGAGCACGCGTCTGATGAGCAAGGTATAAGAATCTGCACGAATTTGCGCATTTGAATTTGCTGCGTGCATGCAAAAGAACCAACAACGAAATATATTTATCAGTGGCTTGGAGTGGAACTCTCGATGTTCCTGGCAGAGTTAAAGGCGTTCGAATCCGCTGGGAGTACGCCCCCCAGGTAGAGACTATCTTGAATTTGTCTTTAAAAGATTTGTTTGCTGTGAACACTCCGAGCTGCAGGAGGTGCAAATATCGACATCATCTGATGGCGAGAATTTCTTTGTGGTGGTCCCTTGGCGGCCTACGTCTGGTACTGGGCGTGAGATATATTTTTGTTTCTCTCTTCGTTTGCTTCTGGCTTTAAATAATATATTTTAAAGCTTCTTTCGAGGAGGTTATTCCCTTCAGCGTCCCTCAAGAATGCCGCATCATCGTCGTCACAATGCGAAAGGCCTTAAACCAATTCTTCGGAATCAATCAAATTACGCCCATTGGAGCGGGACAGCCAATATTTATGATAGTCGCGGGCGTCTCAAGCCCTTCAGGAGAAATGTGTTTGCAGGTGCACCACCCTCAGGCTTCCTCTTCAATAAATATAAATAAATAAACATAAATAAAAAATATATATAATATAATATAAACACCAGCGACAAAATGCAACGTAAAATAATATAAATAGTACCATAAGAATTCCAACATTAATAAAAAAACATCAACAAATTGCAGCCTAAAATTAATACAAACAACATAGCCAATAAAATAAACAGCATAGTCAGACTGCAGCATTAAATAAAATAAACATCATAATCTAACTGCAGCACTAAATAAAATAAACAACAACATTGCTGACATACTGTTGTAGGTAGAAGGCGGCAAAATCAACAAAGAAGGAGCGCGAGTCCTCCTCAGCTTCTGCGAAGACGCCATTGCCTCGGGAGACGCACGCGTGAGAACCTCTCCAACCCTAAACCCTAAACCCTAAACCCTAAACCCTTATGTCTAATATCAAATATAGACGTCTTCAACCCGTCTTCAACCCTAAACCCTAAATCCCAAGTCCGAAACTATAATCTCACATCTACACCTCTCCAACCCTAAACCCTAAACCCTAATATTATATCCTAAACCCTAAACCCTAGTCTCTAATCCCTAACGTAGACCCTCAACCCCAAACCCTATTCTCAAGTCCATAAGTCTTCAGCCCCAAACACTTATCTCTCTCTAATCCCTCAATACAAAACTTTAAACCCTAAGCCCTAATCTCTAACTTCTCAGTCTACACCCTTAAATCGTAAAACCTCAACATGCATCTCTCACCCCTAACCCTTAAACCCTAAACCCTAAACCCTAAACCCTAAACCCTAAACCCTAGGTCCCAAGCCTGAAGCAGATGCTTTTCTTCCTCAGGAGTTGTGGAAGACGAATCCGCAGACGCAAATTGTTAGCGCGTTGAGTAACCCGCCGCATTGTTTGGTGCTGCAGGGAGGCGAGGAGTCGGGTAGGTGTTGACTGCATGCAAGCAACAGCTTGCAATAGAGTTGAGGCTGTGCTGTTTCTCTACAGAGGGTGGCGTTCTAATTCTTTCAAAGTGCTCTCGAGCACTGGAAGAAGGCGATGGAAGATCTGGATGGACGTTTCAAGGCAATTCGCAGCTGCGGCTAGCAAAGGCAGGGTCCTGGTGTTTAACACAAAAGAACATCAATGGTTCTACTGCGGGGCTCGTCGACTTAGTAGTCAGCAGCGGAGCCTCAGCTGAGGCCTCCAGCAGCGCAGACGACCGCCATGGGCCTCAAAATGCCATAGACAGAAACACTGATACCTCCTGGGCCTCTGAAGAATTCGAGGAAAAAGATGAATACCCCGTCACCTTAGACATCAACTTGGGTTCGTTCCTTTGCACCTCCTTCTCTGCATGCATGTATCTGCATGCATGCATCTGCATGCAGTTGAAGAGGGCTCTTCGCTGCTTGTGTTGATTCTGAATGCTTGCAGGGAAAGTTGTGAGGCTCGCATCGATGAGGATTGAGTGGGAGCAGCCGGCGTTAGCGTACACGGTGCAGTTGAGTTCTGACGGGACTACGTTCATGTGGGTGTTGTTATTAGTTGTTTTTTTGATTGTTTCTGATGGGTTTTTGTATGCTTCGTTTGTTTGCTCGCTTGGCGCGCTGTATGCAGAGACGGAGTTCACAACGAGGCGAACCCATCGATGTCTACAAAAGACCCTCTGGACGGAATGGAAGCCTCGATTGTTCGAATTCGCATGCAGCAGCCCCACCCTCGTTTAGGAAAGATAGAGGAGAAGTACCGCTACGCAATAAAAGAGATCAGCATCTTCGCTAATAAGCTTGAGCCAGCAGTTGGTGATTGCAAGGAGGCTGCGAGTTCAGACGATGCTCGAGACAAATATTTCATTTCTTATGTGATGGGGTTCGATCCTGGTCTTGTGCAGAAAACAGCATCTCTAGGGGTGGACCTCGTTGCTAAGAAGAAGAATCTGCAGCAGCTCGCTTCTAAAGTAGAAGAACTCTTCACTAGCATGGATGAGTGCAGAGAAGAAAAGACTCAACAGAAACAGCGCATTGCACACCTACGAAACAACGCCGGTTTACTCCTCTCGAGCTTCCAAACAACCACGCAAAAAACAAAAGCATATGCTCCATCTCAGCTGATTCCGGGTATGTTCAGCGGTTCTCCTTCTCTGTAACATGCGCTGCATCTCCCTTTGCTTCTTCTTTTCTCTCTCTTTTCTTCTTAAATATATACTACGCCTCTCAGGAGATGCAGCAGACCGGCCCGCCATCGATTGTTACTGGATCAAGCAGAAGACGCCGCATGCAGTTTCTGGTTTTTATTGGTATTTCGCTTTCTTTGATTTCAGTTGCATAAAGACGAAAAGAATGAATTCAATTGAATTTATTTTTTCTTCTTTTATCTCAGGGTTCAGCCTCGATGCGCAACAAAACCCTTGCGAAGCTACTGCGACATGGAAACAGGAACAATGATATTTGTGCTGCTGCAGAAGGACTTCCCCCGCGTTGCTAATCGCCCGCCGGGCCTCCTCTCCTCTGCTGCAGACATCCGCTCCACCTGCGCCTCCATTGGCTTGGAGGTGTTCGTGCCTCGGGGGTTATCGCAGCTGTTGAGTGCTGAGAAGGCAGTGCAGCTGATGGGTGAGACGTAGGGAGGGGGGAGGGGGACTTGAACGAACTTCGTATTCTTCGTTTCGTGCAGATGCTAATAAATAGCATAGTATCTGCGTGGCTGGCTATCAACATCCACCGCTTCAGGCATACAGCTGGAAGGAGGAGAAGGAATACCCGTTGCATATGATCAGGGCTGCAGCTACGGCGCATGCAGTTCAACTTTTCGAGATTTGTTCGATGGAACAACAGACCTCACAGGCCTAGTGCTTGCGTTTGCTTCTTCTGGCAGCAGCATGACGTCTTCTTCAGATACTGCCGGTCGGTACTGTAGATGAACGCCTGCATGCAACTGAGCTGCTTCTAATCGCTGCTCAGGGCTGGGGAGAGCAGCGGGAGGCAAGATGAGTTTCTTTTCACTCGCAGCCACTACGCTGGCTGCCGTCTTGTGCTCTACAAACGCAACAGGGGAAGTCGAACGCGGGTGAGATACGACGATATGCGGTGTAGTATGTTGTTGCTTCTCTCTCTTCTGCTGTGAGCAGCTCCTCCTCTTGCTTGTCTTTGCAGATAATGATTCTCTCTCGTTTGGGTCTGTAGTAGTTGCTGCTTCTGTTTCTTATACATGGAGGAACTGGTGCTTCTGTTCATTGTGTTTGTCGTGGTTGTTTTCTTGCCTTGTGTCTCTAGTAGTTGTTTCTCTGTCTCGCTTCTCTGTTTATTGCAATAAAAACAAACAACGCTTTTTCTTTCAGCCCCGCATTGCCTCTGAGCTGCGACGATGTGATGGAGGGTCAGGAGGCTTTCAAGGGATCTCTGAACGTAAATATTTTTTTTTGAATTCTTCTTTCTTCACTCGCCAGCTTCATTCACCTCTTTGCTCTTTATAACAAAACTATCAGACAAATGTTCTCGTGGAGTGCCCACCGGGCTGTGCAGAGACCAACAGCGAGCCTGCTGTCTTCGGCTCTGGTGGCGTTTACTCAGGGAGAAGCGGCATTTGCAAGGCGGCTGTACACGCAGGGCTCATTAAAGAAGGAGGGGTCTTCTCTGTGTCTGTGGAGTCTCCTATCTCTTCGTTCGAGGGCTCTAAGCAAAATGGAATTGAATCTAAGTCATTAGAGCTGCCTCCAGGAGATGCAACAAAAACTATGCGCCTTTCAAAGATAAGCGAGGTCTGTCTTTCATAGAAAAAATATTCAGTTTAAATAAATAATTATATTTATTTTGCTCATGCATACTTTGTGCGAGCTGTTAAACACTAATAAAAGCTATCTACTAAACTAACTTAAGATAAAGAACAACTGAATTGCCTTCGGTGTTATATATATATATATATGAATACACACCCACTCATACAAACACATACACAGGAATGCCCTGGAGGCCCTACTGAGGGTTCAGCCGCCTCTGCGTCTCTGCTTGCGGCGCCTACAACTTCGTTTGTTGAATTAACAACTCGAGTTGAGGCCACCGCTCCCTCAGCTCTTCCCCCCTACGATCCTGCCCTGGCTGCAGCGACTGATGCGGCGAAAGACCGCATAAGTAGGTTTTATTGAAGTTTGTGAAGCGCATGCAAACATAAACACTGACTCTACCTCGCGGGGCTTCAGTGGCAACCCACGGCATCGACCCCGTGGCAGTGAAAGACGCTAAGGAAGAGGCGGGTGTCTCAGTAGGCGAGGCGAGGAGGCGAGTGAAGCCTACAGAGCAATTGAACGAAAGCATCTATTCTGAGGCCGTGCGGCTGTACGTACACCCCGTTGATCCTCCCTTCTTTGGTTTATTTGCTTTGAATTGAACACCGAACAGATTTCGAGACGTGGAAGATCTCACAAGCCGCTTGCTGGCTGCCTCTGCTGCAGCTGCAACGCGACTAGAGTACTTGCATGAGGAGCTGCAGCAGCTTGAAGAAACGCATGTGGTGCAGCAGGGGTATCAAGACTATGAATTGAACCCTCTAGAAACTACCTTCGAGCATGAATTCTCAGTCGAGGACAGTCCGTACACCCGAAATGGGCCCAGCCACTGGGGCTTCGCTCTTCTCGTTGCAAAACACCAAAATGTCTTCGGCCAGTCGTCTTCAATACGCGGACTCGCTGAAGGACAGGGGACATTCGCTTTTCTTAAAAGACGCAATTTCTATGACTTCGTACTCCACGTGCAGTTCCTGGTAAGAACTGATACTCTACATATACAAACGATACATGCATGCACGCATGCAAGCATGCGTGCATGCATGTATCGTTGAGAATAGAAGGCGATATGATGTTGTGTGTTGCTGCTGCCGCTGTTGCTGCAGCCGATGGGCAGCGGCAGTGTAGGGATTGGTTTTCGAATGAAAGACCGCGACAACGGCTTTCTGCTGCTGCTGGAGCAGAAGAGCGGCAGCAAGAAGCTGCTGCGCCTTCAAAAAGGAGTACCCAAGACAATCGCTGAACGCAAAGACGGCGGATTCGTTCAGGGGATTTGGCACAAAATTCGAATTCAAGCGACTGGCGGACATCTCAAAGTCTGCGTAGGCGAGGAGACAGAGCAAGAAGCAGAAGTACTCTCGTAAGAAACACTTCTTTACTAATCATATATTTCTATCGATTTATCTATATATATATATATATATTTGTGTTTGTACTTACATACATTTCTACTTGTGTTGTATGTAGATTAATATGCATTATTTTCTATGCGCATCAGCACACAAATATGTACATATGTATCTCTCTATATTTCTATAATATACATTCATACATCCACACAAATATATATATATATATATGTATATATATATGTATATATATATATATATATATATTTGCACGCATGCATGCATTTTCTGTTTGTTTTCAGGGCCTTAGACGAACGTTTTGTGTCTGGGACAGTTTCATTTTTTTCGTCTGGCATGCGAGACGGCGTTTACTTCGACAAGTTGAGCGTTGAGGCGTCGGCGTGCTTAGCCCCGCAGCAGACCTCTCAGCCTCTGCCTCCGCTTTGTTCTGTCTTCGTCGAGAGCTACTTCGGCAGTTTTAATGCGCTTTACGAAGTCGTAGACGGCGCAGACAAAGGAGGAAACATCGGCCAGTGGGAGTACAGAGTGCGTTCATCGATGCATTGCACAACAAATAAATAAATAAATAAATAAATAAATAAATAAATAAATACATAGGTAAACACAGACATACGCACAGACAGACACTTAATAAGTCGCTATATGCAATGTATATTAAATGTCTATTATATTTATGATATGTATGCTTATCTATTTATGTACATATAGGCAGATATACGTACGTGCGGATGAATTTATCATATATATATATATATATATGCATACGTATCTATAATCTGTATGCATGCTGTACTTATATATATATATATATATATATGCACTATAAAATACATGTACAGCATATATACAGATGTTTAATTCTACATGCTATATACATACACACGTACTGTACAACACATGTGAACCATACAATATAAATATGCAAAATGAATATAAATGCATGCATATACATCTAAATATATATATATATATATATATATACATCTACATATATATTATATATATATTAATATAAATGCTACAGCATATTTACGTTTTGCATGCATCAGGACAAGTTGTTCGGCCGCAACCGCGTGTTGGCGCAGCTGCACGCCGTCCGCGACCCCGCAGAAGTCGGGACGATGGCCATTCTCAAAGGCAAACGCACTTGTAAGCAATTCTCTATGTATATGGATATATATATATATATGTATATATATTTAAATATAAATATAAATATAAATATATATATATATATGTTTGTATAGATGCATATGTACATTCTCTCTCTCTCTCTGTATATATGTATATATATATATATATGTATATAGGCATATATATATGAATGTGTTGTTTGTATATGTACGTATACATATGCATATGCATATATATATATATATATCTAA